TACTATGAACATAACAGAGTGTACTGTTTCGCTAACGATATTCTCCATGCGTTCCCATTCCTGAGGATAGATAGATAGATAGACAGATACTCCTTATTGTTTCCTCCAAAAGATTACAACAGTAAACTTATTATAAATACAAAAATTACAAGAAATAATCACAGTGAGAAAACAATGGGCGACCTTATCACTAAAAGCGATCACTTCCAGGCAGCCATTGGATGGAGAGGAGTAATTATAAACAGTTTGATCAAAGGCACGATGAAATTCTATTATTTCTAAAATATACAGGACAGGAGGAGATACATAAAATATAGAGGACTAAGGTGTTATTCCTCTGTACCCTGTAAATTCACGCCATATCCCATCCTTCAAACTGAAACACAGCCATGCAAATACAACTGCTTCACGGTTGAAACACGAATGAAAAAGTTGACAAACATGACCGTCGTCAAATGGCAATTATCAAAGTTTTTATTTCATCAATTAATCATAATAATCAATCACGTTCATCAATTATACTCGTATCATAGTACTTTGTACAAAAGTAGATTGCTTGGGTACCTCTGTCCCATTCGTGTGTATATATATATATATATATATATATATATATATATATATATATATATATATATATATATATATATATATATATATATATATATATATATAACAGAGTCTCTATACTGGTCGGTCTGGGGTAGGGTTTTCTTTCTCCTTGAACTTCGTGGTGTAAAAAGCAAAATATATCATTGAGTTGTAAGTACATTTCTGGAAGGAGTACTAAGCATTGACATCAACTACGGGATCTAACGATAACTACTGGCGCTGCCGTTAACGGTAATAGTGGCTGTGGATAAGTGGTAAAGTTTTCTACTCCACAAACGGTAACGTTACAGTTTCAACGAAGTAAATTAACACTTATTTTTTAAACGATTTCCGAAAGATTAATGTTTTCAATTCGTCTGATTTTTTTGTGGCTATATTACAAGATTACATAGGCAACATTGAATGATTCTGCGTGCGTGCGTGGATTTGTGCACGCGTGCGTGCCTGCGTGCTCTTTTGCGAGCCTGTGTGTGTGTGTGTGCGTGCGTGCATGTGTGTGCGTGCATGCGTGTGTGTGCGTGCGTGTGTGTGCGTGTGTGTGTGTGTGTATGTGGATGTGTTTACAATTAATTTTGCTTTTTTATAAAAAAAGTGTACATGTTATAAATGTATAAATCAAAATTTATTTAATCTGATTTTGTTCGCCGTTGACTTTCGTTTCAGCCGTCGGGCGGTATAGAGATATCGTATTTTCTACGTATTTAAAATAAACATTGTTTCTCTAAATTAACGGTAACTTTAGAAATCGTAGAGTAGAAGTGGAATTGTTTATTATCTATTGAATAGCAAATAATCTTTACAGATCATTTACCAAGCTAAGTATATATCTGCACTGTATATTTTAGGTTTGGTTTACATTACAACAATTGTAATTGTGTGTATTATATACATAGAGGTACTCGTATTAGGTAAGATACTGTTGTAGAATGAATTACTTGAAAATTACCAAACAGATTTTCTAAAGCATGTATGCTAGTATTTTAGTAATATAACCTGGCATTAGATTGCATAGTAAGCAAATGTACTAAGATATTAAAATATTTTTAGTTCATAATGAAAATAAACAATTTTTAAGGAATAATAGTTTATATTTATTTGTATTATATTAATTTATATCTATAGTATGTTTAAATATATATAATTTATAATTAACCCTTCTTTGCATGATTTTTTTTAATGATGAAATCAATCAAGATGATATAATTCATGTTCAAAAGTAAAGAAAAAATGGTTAAAAAAATAAATTTGGCAGCTTCGTTTTCTTTTCTGTAATGGACATTAAAAAGGTATCTAGACACGATCTACTTAAAGTGAACTTGTTCTTTTATGTAATTTTTGGGAATTCAATATTATGATGGAAATTTCCACCATTATGCAAAGAAGGGTTAAACATGGCAGCGTAGTCTCTGATCTTAGCCTATCATCTGAAGTGTGGAATGAATAAACAAAAAAAAAATTAAAAGGAAAGAGTATAAAAAGAAATAAGAAAAAGATTAAGTAATAAATAATGGGGGAAATAAAAACTAGGTGTCATAGTGAAATATATGGAGAGAAGAAAGACAGTTACGTCAATTGCTTCAACAACATTAAAATTTTATGACCTCGACCACCACACTAACTGACCGTGCTATTCAGAGAGCTGTTAAATCACCAATAAATCTAGTAAATAATATAGTAACTAGTGGAACCGATAAACGTCATTTCGTTTTTACCGTTATCCGTCGAGTCCATTTTTTATTATCAGGATAAAAACTATCAAGTCATATCTCTGAAGTTGGAGTAATCACATACACATTTACAAAATTTCAATTTAGTTTTTTTTTTTTTACAACACAGGGGGCAAACGAGCATGCGGCTCACCTGATGGTAAGTGACTACCGCCGCCCATGATCACCCACAACACCAGCGGCATTGCAATTGTGCTGCTGGCCTTTTAAAAAGGAATATACTCTTTTCTTGAAGGTTATGTTGTCGTATCGGTTCGGAAATACTGCTGCTGGAAGTTGATTCCAAAGAATGGTTGTGCGTGGAAGAAAGTGCCTTGAAAAACGCACGGTGGAAGACCGCCACTCGTCCAGATGATTGGGATGAAATTTTAGTTTGTGGCGGGTTGTACGGTTGTAGTTGAGCGCTTTCGGAGATTAACGTGAACAAATATTGTGATACGGGTTTTTTTATATTAAGATATTTATTAGTATCAGTATTTTTTCAAGAAAAAAATAGAGTATCAATCTAATCTGTCTATCTATCTACCTGTCTATCTATTTATTTATTTATTCATTTTTCATACTTTGATAACATACTTTAACAGCGACTCCTGCACTAAGAGGGAGGGAAACACCAGAGGGAGACTTTGTACAAAAGTCGATTGCTTGGGTACCTCTGTCCCATTCGTGTTTCTACCGTGAAGCAGTTGTGGTTGCATGGCTGTGTTTCGGTTTGAAGGGTGGGATATGGCGTGAATTTACAGGGTACAGAGGAATAACATCTGAGTCCTCAAGAATGGCAACGCATGGGGGGTATCATGGGCGAAACAGTATACTCTGTTATGTCCATGGTACTGCTCATGTCAATAGGCGACGGTTACCACTTTGCATCAGGTGGGCCGTCAGCTTGTTTGCCATTCTAAGTTGTATAAAAAAAAAGTTCTAGACTTGTATTGTCGGAATCTTTTATCATTAAATACTATAATCTCAGTTTTGCGTTTATTTTTTATTTTAATTCCAAAAGGGGGCAAACAAGCAATTTCCTGTAACAAGTAAGCGTTTAGATTTATAAATATACTAACTACAAGTGTTGTGCTCGTTTCTTTCGCACCACATAGTTCTGTAAACACTGTATTCAAATATATTTGGTATTCAAATCGCAATATTAGTTTTAAGAACCGCGATGTGTCTACAGAGATATGCAAATTCAGAATATAACGCGAACAATTTGCAAGCGTCAATTGTAACACGATTATACAGGCAGCGGTTTGTGGTTTGTTTAAACTATGCAAGTGATAAATTAGAAGTATGTTTATATACTTAGCATTATAGTGACAAATAAATAATTCAATACTTGGGTTGTGGCATGTTTAAATAATTGTAGCATAAATAGTTTTTAAAATTTATGACCTTTTGAGAAATGCAGACATTTTTTTCTTCACACTTCAAAGAAACCACAAAAATAAAAATCTTAGTAATATCGAGCCATCCCGTTGATGGTACCTTAAGCTTATTTAGTTCGCTACCATTTTATGGTTCACTGCATATTATTTGTTTTAAACACTACGAATATTGTATTTTTTTTTTGCAACTTAGAATGGCAAACAATCTGACGGCCCACCTAATTGAAAGTGGTAACCGTCGACTATAGACATAAGCAGTACCATGGACATAACAGAGTATACTGTTTCGTCCATGATACCTCCCATGCGTTGTCATTCCTGAGGACTCAGGTGTTATTTCTCTGTACCCTGTAAATTCACGCCATATCCCACTCTTCAAACCGAAACACAGCCATGCAAACACAACTGCTTCACGGTAGAAACACGAATGGAACAGAGGTGCCCAAGCAAACGAATTTTCTATAACGTCTCTCTCTGGCAATTTTAACATTTATTCTAGGCATTATAATAAGTTGCTGATCACAGCTGGTATATTGTGGTAAATTTTACTATATAAAAATTATATTAGGTGAAATATTTGAAGTCGATGCCAATCTAATATTTATAATTTAATTTTCATTTCTCTATAGTTTTAGTTGGGTGTCATTCGCATAATTTTACAAAGTACACAATATATTTTTTTTCACAGCTTTTTTTTTAATGTCAACATCATTTATAAACGTTTACGTGTTCCAGTTTAAGCAGTTATGTTTAATTTTACACAAGAAATAAAATATTTTACTGAATTATAATTAGTTTACGTAATTTTTTGCATTTCAAATCTAGAATATCTACGTATTATGTAGATAATTGAATTATTTTCAATACCTAATCAAGATATAAAAAAGTTTTTTTTTGTTAAAATATATGTTTTATTTCACCAAAAATAAAATTTCAAATAACTTACAGTGAATTTACAGGGTACAGAGGAATGACACCTGAATCCTCAGGAATGACAACGCATAGGGGGTATTATGGACGAAACAGTATACTCTGTTATGTTCATGGTACTGCTCACGTCTGTAGGCGACGGTTACCACTTTCCATCAGGTGAACCGTCAGCTTGTTTGCCATTCTAAGTTGTATAAAAAAAAACTTCAAATGTAAAACGTTACATTTGGAATAGCAATTATTTATTTAAAACAAATATTAAGTTTTTTTAGACACAATGGATCGTATGCCGTTTGTCACTTGTACCCTCGCGTGTTATCTGATTCTAGACTAGACAGTGTCGCGTACTCACCGGCATAGTTTGACTTCCGTGGAGGCTCGTGATCGCCGCTTGTGCCTCCTGGTGTGAGCTGAACTTTACGAATGCACAACCTGCAACCAAGTAAAACAAGAATTGTAAATAAAACTAATTGCCTTTCTATTACTTACAAAGAAATACATAATTAAACTAGTATTTTTTTTATTGTTCGCAAAAATTATCAAATTAGTTTTTTTTTATTGTCCGCTAAAGAATTAGCTGTAGAGTAAATTAGCAATTATTTACCGTCTGCAAAAAAATATAAATAAACTTTGCAGTTTTTCTACCGTCTATTAAAAAAAAATTAAATAAAATCTGTCGTTTTTCTACTGTCTGTAAAAATAGAATAAAAGTAAAACTAGTAATTTTTCTACTGTTTGTAACAAGTAAATGTAACTAAAAGTAATAGTTTTCTACTGTTTGCTTAAAAAAAAAACGTAGTCAAAGTTAGTCGTGTTTTTATTGTCTGTGATTAAAAATATATGTGAACTGATCATTTTACCACTAATTGGAACAGAAAAATGACAGTAAATCTTGTCTTTATTTTTAATATCTTTAACAAAAAAAAATTAAAATAAACCTAATAATAACTTATAGTTTTCCTATTATTTATTACAAAAATGGAAAATAAAATGAACTAGATGTTTTCCACCGTCTGTTTAATAAAAAAAAATATATAGTTTGTGTTTTTTCCTCCCACTTTCTGTTACAAAATATATATATAAATAAAACCAGATATTTTCAGCAATTACGCTTCTTCAGCAATTAATCTTCTGTTCTTTGAAAAATATCGTTGATGTAACACTTGCTTATCTTTCGAGTAATATCATAAGTTGAAACCAGAGATGTATATAGGATGAAATATAAATAGATAGATAGATAGATATATCGTTTATTTGTTTGTTACTAATCACACACAACATGTACATAAGAATAGATAATACATAAAACAACATAAGATTTATAAAATTGTGTTATTATGTGTGATCTGCAGCAATACAATAAATCAAGTGTTCTACTAGTGAATTGGATGATTTTATAGAAGAAAATGTCAAAGTACATATTGAGAATGATAAGCTCAATATATCTTTTGCCATATTAAATTAATGTTTCTTTGATAAACATTTACATTTATTGGTAGAAAACACAAAAAAATTCTAACAATTTCAATTTTACCGTGTGCAAGAATTGATGAATGAATGAATGAGTATACTTTATTTGCATTATACAATATAGGAAATAAGCAAGACAATTTACAAATACAACGATACAGTTGTATAAGTACAGTAAGTTCGGTCTTATTGCTGAGAGCAATCTTTTCAAGACAACCTTAGGGTAATGGACTAATTGTTGTACAAGTAGGTATGATAGTGCTGTATAATTAAAAAAACATTTTTTGCAAATAAATGTAACGAAACAGCTGTGTAAGTACAGTAAGGCGGTCGTATCGCTGAGAGCAATATTTTCAAGACAATCTTAGGGTAACAGATTAATTGTTGTACAAGTAGGTATGATAATAAAACATGTAATGCAGGTATTTTGAATTAATTTGGCATCGATTCTTTCTGCCTACCTCGTGAGAAACTTGGCGTGATGTTAGATACATTCTAAGGATACTCTATATTTTCCAAATGTTGATTTGACATAAATCTGTTATGTCCATGGTACTGCTCATGTCTATAGGCGACGGTTACCACTTTCCATCAGGTGGGCCGTCAGCTTGTTTGCCATTCTAAGTTGTATAAAAAAAATCAAAGCTTTCAAATGTACTAAAATTTCTTTGACTGATTCTAGTACCATATAGCATGACGAAAAGGGTCTGAAACTGTTAAACTAATAAATTATATAATGAAGTCAATAAAGTAGTATACTATCGAATAGGACACTAGTTCATTGACTTTGCCTCTAGGTGGCGTTCGTGGCCGTGAACAAAATTTAACATGATTAGTTACATCAAGCGGCCGTCGGGCAAAATTCATACAAATTTCACAACGGATCAGGGATGGACGTACGCCTCGGGCGTTTGGTATGATCTCGGATGGGATTTAAGTGAGCATAACATACACTGTAATAATAAGAACACATACCTGTCAAATTTTATACAAAATTACAAATCTCATAATGTCTTGAACCCATTATGATCTTTATCCAAATATTTGTTAAGGATCAAAATTGTGTTTATAATATCATTAAAGGATTAATTCGAACAGAAAATGAAGATAAAAACGCTTCGAAACTGCGTTTAAGAAGTTGCTTAAAAATAGTAAGCGTGTATCAAATTAGGAATTATTATTTATAATATTTAATATTTGTATATAATATGTTACTGTAGGGTAATAGATTTATATATTAATTACATAATCCTAACTTATATATATAATTATATATATATATATATATATATATATATATATATAAATTAGGATTGCCAAACCTCTTGCCAAGCGTGAAAACTATTGGCAAACCCCCCCCCCCCCCCCCATTTGGGGGAGGCTAAATTCAGCAGTAGTTAACGGCTGATACAACGACCTACCGTGTTTTTATTATACCAAATATTTTATTCAAAATTAAACTAAAAAACCAACGTAAAAGAGTATATTTTCTTATTGCTATCTAACCCCACGATATGACATGTGCCGATACGTACTCCATTGTTCGTGCGAGGTTAACCTAAAGCATTTGATGTTGGAGGCCGATAAGCCGACCCCATCGCTGTTGCTTTGAAAAGTACAAATTGAAAAAATCATTCCATCCTACAACAGTATGCTGACAATATACATAATAATTTAAAGTGGCTTTAAGAAAAAGTTAAAGATAAAATTTGGATTAATTCTTATTTGTAAATATAATTCTATAAAATAATAATTAAAATAAAAAAAAAATATAAATAATTAAAATGTTTATAAATAATTACAATTACTAATTAGTTTGTATTTTTGTAAGCACATTTATTATTTCCTAATAGAAACGGCCATACTGTTTCCACTTCTTATTGTACGCACACTGCCTGCTGGTAATTAAAGCTACTCTCCACTCAAGGTTTGCTGGAAGGGAACTCTTACAGAGTTAAGCTCGCCTGTTGTACATTTTTATTCAAAATAAATTATAATAAAAGTTATTTACTGGGTACAAAGGAATAACACCTGAGTCTTCAGGAATGGCAACGCATGTGAGGTATCATGGGCGAAACAGTATACTCTGTTATTTCCTTCGTACTGCTCATGTCTATAGACGACGGTTACCACTTTCCATCAGGTGGGTCGTCAACTTGTTTGCCATTCTAAGTTGTATAAAAAAAATAAAAAAAAATAACAATGTAATTTTTGTGTATAACTAAGGTATAAATAAATTAATAATATTTTAATTATTCTATTTATTTATTTATTTAATGTTATTGTTTTTGTTTACTAGTTGACTAGAAATTCAAATAAAAAAAATAAACTTTTATTTTTTTGACTATTATTATAGTCGGATAATTATTATATAGCATGAAAAAAATTCGTCTAACAATTCGCAAGTTTATATCACACAATAAATATCTACATACATAGATTAATTTTTCTTGTGCCAAGTTATAAAAAAGAAAAAAAAAATTGATTACTAGTTAAAAATAGAAGAATTTATTATGCGTCCTAAAATATTAAAGAAAAAAATAAAATACAAGTGGAAACAACAAACAAATCTCGCCTTTGCGCAAAAAAAAAAAAAAGAAAAAAGAAAAAGTGCAAATTTGGCGCGTAAAATGGAATCTTAAACAAGGCGACGTAGCCGGATTACCGCTCAATTTTTCAATAACAAGCTGTCAGGGCGCAGTGGTGGGTAGCCGGGTATCAATCTTGGTTTCCTACAGGTGCGCCGTGGAAGTGGGGAATGGGGGACGGGAATAATGCGAGCCGCCGCCCGTCGTTCGCGTCCTGTCCCTTTAATGACGACTGATGGATCTACCGTTTATGACGTTCGGATTACATAGATCCGTGGTATTCCGACGACGCGGACGCTATGTTATACTGTTATTTTTCACAGATATTTATGTGAGCATTAGCTTTGCAAAATATTGTTTTGCCTACTGGTGATAAAGTGAAATTGAAAAATATGCCTCCACTTGTATTAGGTACATTTTTATTTTGTCGACTTGCGATAGTTATCTAGAGAGAATCCTGCTAGTGTTATAAATCGGAAACTTCGTAAATGTATTTATTATTAAATCTATTTACATACTTTATTAATGTCAGTAAAGTTACAAAATATTGAATTTAATTTATTGAATTTTCATGAATTTACTGGGTACAGAGGAATAATATCTGAGTCCTCAAGAATGGCAACGCATGGGGGGTATCATGGGCGAGACAATATACTCTGTTATGTCCATGGTACTGCTGATATCTATAGGCGACGGTTACCACTTTCCATCAGGTGGACCGTCAGCTTGTTTGCCATTCTAAGTTGTATAAAAAACAAAGAAATATATATGGATAAAGAGATATTTAAAGCTACTCTCCACTCAAGGTTTGCTGGAAGGGAACTCTTACAGAGTTAAGCTCGCCTGTTGTACATTTTTATTCAAAATAAATTATAATAAAAGTTATTTACTGGGTACAGAGGAATAACACCCGACTTAAATCTCCCACTCATTCTTCTTCCTTTTATTCTAAATCCTTTACTGTTCAGGCAGTTCGTCTATGGAACTCACTACCTACCTCTATTCGGTGCGCTCAAACTCTTACTAGATTCAAAATCTCTGTTAAATCTTACTACCTCTCACTTTAGTACTATTTTCCTGTGTTCTCTCTTCGTTTTCCTTCGTCATTTTTTTCTGTTGTATGTATGCTGTTAAGTATGTGTATGTTATGTATATGTTTAATTGTGTATATATTATATATGTATGTGTATGTATGTATGTATGTATGTTATGTATATATTTAATTGTGTATATATTATATATGTATGTGTATATATGTATGTATGTATCTATATATGTTTGTATTTGATAATATTTATATAATAGTGCGCCACCTACTCTTTGTCTTTTTCTCAATGTCCTCTACCCAAAGGTTGTCTGGAAGAGTTTGCTTAG